ATGACAGAAGAAGAATTGATGTCTTCAAATTGTGGTGCTGGAGAAGAGTCTTGATCATACCATGGACCACCAAGAAAACAAATAGTTCTGTCTTGGAGAGAGTGAAACCAAGTTTCTACTTGGAGACTAGGGTCTTGAAGCTCTGTCTCACATACTTTGGGCACATGGCCAGAAAGGACTGGTACTTGGAGAAGGCCATCATGCTTGGAAAGGTAGAGGGACAGCAAAGGAGAGGAAGACCCTGGATGAGATGGATTGCTACAGTGACTAGGGCATTGGGGATAGGTGTATCAGCCAGTGAGACAGGCTCAGGACAGGGCAGGGTTCAGAGTTGCTGTACATAGGGTCACTACGGGTCACAAATGACTCAATGGCACATAACAACAACAACAGTAGCTAGGAATTTTGAACATTTCTTCATGTATTTGTCATTTGGATGTCTTCTTTGGTGAAGGGTCCCAACACTTCTTTTGATATCTTGGTTACTGCTACCCTGTGTTGCAAACCAGATGCAGAAAGAAAGCAGGGACACGAGGAAATGAGTTCTGAAAAAGAGGGAGGGCTGAGGCAGAGGTTCTCTCACAGCACGGCGCTGTGAAAAGGCCCCTTTCTTAGTCTCCCTAAGGTTTTTATTTAGTTCAGGCCAATCATCCTCAAAAAGGTTTAACCTCCAGAGACTATATTTTCCTTTTACTTAAGTGTTGCCAACGTAACAATGGGTAAGCTTAATCTTTAAACTAAAACCAAAGCTCAGACACAGCGTCCCCTTGGGTGGGAGGCTGGGTGGAATTCTCTGTTTGCACAGGGCATCCAGTATCTCCTCCGGGGAGCTGGGCAGAATTCTCTGTTTGCACAGGGTGCTCAGTCCTTGTCTGGACTCTGGTTTCAGCTGTGGCCCTGCTGTCACTATGCTAGGAAAACCACAACCCTATGTCTTGATTGTGGATCCAAGTGAAATTCTTGACAACTTCAGTCTCTTCTCCATCTTTCATGATGTTGCCTGTTTGTCCAGTAGTGAGGATGCTTGGGGGGTTTTTGGCTAAGTTGCAGTCCATGTTGAAGGCTGTAATATTTTATCTTTTTCAGTAAGTGCTTTAAGTCTTCCCATTCTGCAAGCAGGTTGTATACCTGCCTCACATAAGTTGTTTATAAGGCTTCCTCCAGGCCTGATACCACTCTGTTTTTCTAAAGTCCACCTTCTTGAGTAATCTGCCCAGCGTACAGATTGAACAGGTGTGGAGAAAGGACACCACCTTGATGTCCACCTATCCTGATTTTAGATCATGTGGTCAGTATTCTCTTGTTCTCTTTGGACAATAGTTTTTCTGGTCTATGTCCTTTTATGTGAACACAATTATTTTTTTT